ATGAATTTCATCCCCTTGCACCCATCAGCCGCGAAGCCCACTGTCCATTAGTCTCAAGTATCTGTTTCCTTCAACTTGTGCTATTGATTTCAGTACATCTTTTTTTCAGAGCATCTTACAAGGATCTCAAAGACAATGACAGCTTTTTTAGGCCCAGCCTGTCACTGTTTTGCCACAGACTGCTTCTTGAATAACTTCTCTATGTGTCTGCATACAGCTTTTATTCGTATTCTGCTCGCTGTTTCCTCACAGCAGACATCCGATCCTGCATCGGTTATCATGTCGGGCCGGACTGGTGCCCCGGAAGGTCAGGGCTTTTTATTTCAGAGGCCACAATGACACGGAGGGATTTCACCGCAAGGGTAGGGGCACAATATGGTCCTACATCCCTGGAGATGGGATTTTAAATAGAGGGGAAAAAAGCTGTTGCCCACATCTGTTGCTAAGAAATGTCATGCTGGTTCAATATTGGTCAAATCAGATACTTCTGTCAGATAAAAGATGAAAGGATGAGTGCTGTTTCTAAGAGGTGGAAGCAGATTTTACTTATTCAAGAGGGGTGACAAATAATAACGCGTAATGAGAAACTATTTCTCATTACGAATATAATGAGAAATGTTATTATCATCACAAATTTCTCTATGTAGTTGAGAAACTATATTCTGTTTTGATTTTAATGTAAAGTAACTCCGGTACAATATATCCTAAGCATGGGTATATAGGTGACCTCTATATGTTGTACATCTATAAGAGTCTAGTTGTCAAAACAACCTCCACATGTTCCTCTTTTTTATTTTTATGATTGATTTGCTTTGATCATCTTTCATATATTTATTTTTTGACATCATAAATCATGTGCTTTCCTCCATCATTACACCCTCCTCTCTGTGGGTCCAGAATTTCCAAAGTGCAAAAAGCATCCGCTGGTAGTCGTCTCTTTTCTGCTTCTGGGACATATTTGCCACTAGGGGGGGATTTGGGGCTGAGATTAGATATTCTTTGACACAGCAGACCAATTCCTGCGAGAGGGGAATGTGACCTTTGGCTTTATTTATGTCGTTACCACTCATAGAGGACCTTTTCATCAGATACGGTCATTGTAATCCCTCAGCCCCCATTCAATTTACAGAGGCACTCTGTCACTGCAGACCACTAAAGTCGACAAAATTAATGGATCAATAGGCCCTCTGAAAGCTTGGCAGGAGGGTCCAGGTCCCTCAGTTGCTCTCATGTTACAAGTCATAATGAATGGGGTGTTGTTTATGTTGTAAAGTGCAACGTCACTGAGTTCTTGTAACAAACCACCGTCTGAGCAGCAGCTCAGCGCAGCAGCCCGCAGTCTTCCATCATGTAAACCCGAGATAAATGTCTTTTTCCTTAAATCTGTGTCTTGGAATTGCACATTTCAAGTATCGATTTAGATGGATACTTAGACAGATCTTATATCTATCTACTTCCAACCTTTAGGAAGATAGAATATTTCTGTATTATCAAAGTTTGTAACTAAGAACGAGGAAAAATGAATAGAGGAAAGGACGCCGGCGCTCTTCTTCCCGTGTTCCTGTTTACCCACACGAGCATCACTGTAAACGCTGAATCCACCAGGAATGTGGGACAGACTCTCAGTTCTATGATGTGTGCTATGATAAATGAAATTTCGACGGAGCTCTGGCCTGGGAGTGGGACGATGCTCCGCGTTCCTACGTGTCGTGCTGAGTGGAAGGCGTGTGGCTCAGCGATGGTCAAACCGGAGGAACGTGCTGACAGCTGTAGCTGGCCCTGAGCTGCACATCAGCCCAGAATAACTTGCAGCTCGTTTTCTTTCTAGAACAACGTTCTCTGTTGCCACTACTGGCAGGGAGGCCAATTCCTGTGTTAAGCTCCACAGCCACTAATAGCGCTGCATACGGGGTCTTTTGATCAGGTGGAGATTCTTAATGGATTCTTCCTCGCCTCTGAAAATGAGGGTCTGAGAGCACAGAGCAGGGTAGACTCCAGTCAAGCTGATGGGGTCATTGGAACCATGTGGTTGTAGACACAAAGAACCAGAGCTGCGTTCACAGCTGTCCGACGGCGGGAGAGTCAGGAAGTCTGGCGACTGTAAACCTCACCCGACCACCCTACCCACACTCTCATCCACGAGATGTGGCCTGAGACGTGCCAAGGGAGCAGCGCTGTGCACACCAACCCGCGTTGGCCAGCCCTCCCTCAAACATTTGCTCTTCTTCTTTTATTCCCGAGACGTTTATAGATTTTCAGTCGAATTTTATGCTGAGCTGCATCATAACACTACAGCCTTGCAAACACAATGTCTCATTCAAAAGCAAAGAAAACTTAAATTAACAGTAATTATCTTTTTTTGGATTAAAGTGCTCATAATTTATTAGCACTCTGGTAAGGGAGGTTTTGTTTGGATTTTACACTCTAACGATGCTTATGAGTTTTACCATAAAGTAACAACTAAGTCAAATGAGATTTAATCATGAAAAATCATATTAATTATTAAATATTTCAGAAATGTGTGTTTATGCATCAAAACGGGATAGAAAATTATTAGTTTCAGCTAGAAACCAAAATTTCCAGATCTGCATAAGAAAGCAAAAAAATATGTAAACTTTTTTTCTCTCCCCTTAAAGAATACACTTTTTTAATTATTTTTATTTCTGGGTCTACATTTGGTAATACGTTTGCAAAAATTGCCAGGTATTAATATTTTTAATGCCTTTTTATGTGCCTTGAAATAGAAAATATCTCCAATTTGGCATTGATTCTAAATCCACCCATTGGTTAAAGGAACTATCTTTAGCCTTTAGTTAAAAGCTTTTAAAAATAACTTGTTGAATGTTTTGTAGCGATTTTGCACTCAATCTTTGGCACATTGGACATTCTATCCAATTGCAAAATTAACAAAATATACATTTATGTTTTAGAAATACTTATCTATGTAATATTTTTTTCTTTACAATTTTCTTTACAAATTCAATTCAACATGATTAACCCGTTTTGTTTAAACACATTTTTTAAAACTAGTTTAAAAACTCCCTTAGCAGCTGCAACAGTTTGGAGGCAGGTCAGTGCTCCTGTAACTTATCACACGTGTTCAGAACTGCATGTTATCATGCTTCTTTAAATTACAACACTTCCAGTGGAGGTTGCTATGAAAATGAAACATTTTGACCAACCACATGCAAAAGGGGGCAGGGGGTAAAAAAATGTCATTTTTTTATGTCCAGATTTTTAGTAGCAAATCCTTTGCCAGTTATGACCTGCATATTTCAACATGGAGACTCAGATTCACACCAGAGCAATTGTCCTGTTAAAAACCCCAAAATCATGCCTGTCCTTTTGCGTGAGTGAGAAGATTCAAACAGCTGAACATGCACAGCAAAGGTAGACAGGAATTCAGCAGAGAAAACAACAGATCTGCCGGCAGACTAAGTGGGTGAGTGAACAGGTTAACGGCGACTGGGTCTTGAATGGCTGTGACAGGGAGAAAGCAGCGAGAGGCTCCAGCACTGAAGGGGGAAGTGACCCGGAAACAGTGAGTAAGTGCAGCTTGCTGGGTCCTTTTTTTAGAAAAAAAAAGAAGAGAAAATAGCTCCAGAAGCACTGATGCAAGTCTACCAAAATCCACTTTTTCTTTCTTATTTCTCTGCCTCTCCAGATATGCGTCTCTCAGCTGTGCTCATGCGTTTTTAGGTCTTTTAGGTCTTTTTAAATTAGACGTTTCTATTAGTGAAAATATGTTTGGTGACATTATGGTGTGCCATAAGCACAGGGTTTGTTTTTTACATGTTAGTAAGCTGTGGTGTCCTGACCTGAAAAACAACTTTTTCTGGGATGTCTTTATGTTGTGTAATTTCACAGCTTGTTTTTGTGTGCAACTGTGAGAAGAAATATTTTTTTTTAAAATAAGACATTTGTCAATGGAGAAAATTCAGGAATAATAAAAAAAATCTGATTGGATGAATTTGCAGCTTCAATTTTTTCCAATTGAACAAAAATGAAAGTCTTTAAAATAGAAAAAATCTTATATCTGTCTGGTTGTTTTAGTGGACGTGGCCTCCGATGAAGCGGAAAAGGTTTTCCCTTAACATCCTAATCCACTTGCACAGGACATAGGTTAGCAGAAATGGTTTGATCCTGACATCTCTGCAGCTCAGCACACAAAGAAACGGGCACAAAACACAAAACAAACCTAAATAGGCCGAAGCTTTCTCTGCATTTCAAGTCTTTGTGCTTGCATATCAACACCGGATTTCTTGTTGAGAATAATCTAAACCTGTTTAACATTATGTTGTATTGAGAGGGAAAAACAGATTCAAAGAAAGTCAATTTTCTTTATAAATTGGTAAATGTGAAAGATTAAGGAGAATTTTTCCTTTGTGAGAAAACTCGCACGAGCTGAAAAATTGACCAAAACCCAAAGAATGCAGCCCAAAGTTGAAACCCACTGCTTCACATTTCCCCTCTTCACACAGAGACTGAAACATGAACTTTTCATTTCTTGACTAAAGATGCCAGTACTGATGGGAATTTTAAATTATTGTCTGTACAAATAACACTAAAGTGCCCTTTTCTTATTAGCTGCAATAAAATGCACAATGGCAACAGAATACATGCAGTCAGGCATTATTATCAGAACTAACCTTATGAATTCCATCTTAAAGTCAGCACATCAGCGAACATTTGATCTTTTTATTGCAAAACTTATAATTGATTATAACTGCATTCACAGTTTAACAGTCTTATGAAAGGTCAAGTGGAAACAAATAAAAAAAATAAAAAATAAAAACTCAGACAGAAAAAGAGGTTTTTAACATCAACAACAATAATAAGGCCATACAGTATATAAATACAAATGACGTTGTTTCAAATGAACCCATAAACGCACGCACACACGGAGCCTTATTGCAGGGAAACAACGCTCCAAAGGACGTAGATACATTCATTCAGATAACTTTACTGCCGAAAGTAAAACCGCTTTTTGGGTTTTTTGGATGCATACTATTTTTCTAACGTAATAAAAATAATCATTATAATAATATTAATAATAATAATAATATATATAAAATGTTTGGGGATGAACAGAAAGTGGCACATGCATGCCCCTGGGCTATTTATGTTGACAAAAATCTTCTAACCTGAAAAATAAAAATTGGAAACGATAAAAACAAAGTGTCCGAAATTTAGGTGACGGTATGCAGAACTGTCCACGCACCTGCACACGGGGTCATGTCAGTCCGTGTCAAACAGGCCAAAGTACTTGCCGGTGTTGGAGAAGTAGATGTAAGGCGCTGCGCTCGCGGCCGGGTACACGACGGGGAAAGGCATGGGCAGCAGGCAGCCGCCCAGCAGGCCGCTGTCCTTGTAAAAAGTGGACAATTGCGCGTTTTTGCCGGCCTCCGGGAAGTGCTCGGCGCCCAGCGGGGCCTCCATGTCCGTGGACAGCTGCCTCTTGAGCTTGTTGCGGCGGTTCTGGAACCAGATCTTCACCTGGGTCTCGGTGAGCTGCAGGGAGCTCGCGAGGCACGCGCGCTCCGAGCTGCTCAGGTAGCGCTTCATGTCGAAAGTGGCCTCCAGCTGGAAGATCTGTCTCTTGGAGAAGATGGTGCGCGTCTTTTTCTTGACCATGGCTTTGAGGTCGGCCGCGGGCTGCGGCTGCTGGCCGCCAGAGTCCTCGGCGCTTTGGCCACTCTGCGCCCCGGTGGACAGCGGCGGGGAGGTGTCCAGGCGGTCCACGCGATGGACTCGGGGCTTCGCTGTGGATGGGGGTGACAAAACGGGCTTTGAAGCAAAACGTACAGATTTGTTGTTGTTGTTGTTTTGCGTGAGAACACGTGCGAGGAGATGCACAATTACTATAGGGGCTTAATAATGGACACAGACAGGGACACTGATAGTTTCAGCTTTTACGCACAGTTTTGATACTAAAACATCGTTTCCATCGTTTGGAAATATGTACTAATGGATTACCTGTCTCTCCTGGCTCGCTGTCGTGCCTTTCCCGGACGTCCCACACCTCTTCATATTTCGCTTGAAAAACATTTTTACATCCACTGGCCCCCTGCTCGAACTCTGCTCCATCCCGCTGCTTCAGGTTGAGGATGCTGTCGATGGTGAAAGTCAAACACGCATTCCGGCTCGGGGTGTCCTCTTTGCTCATATTCCCCGACATGTCCCTCGCTCCTGCAAGACTCCCGAAACACCCACGGCCCCGGACGCTCCGAGCACCATTGCTCCCCGACTGCGTCTCGCGCGCGGAGGAGCCGGTGCGCCGTAATTCAACGACCCGGAAGCCCGCAGAGCAGCAGCTTTTGATTGGTGGGGTTGTGGGGCAGATGAGGGCGGGACGAATCCGTGCGTCTGGCTGCCATATTTGCTGCTTTACTCTCCTCTCTGTCATTCAGGTTTAGGTTAGGTTTGGTTTGCAAAGCACATTCATCTAAACTTGCACTAATTCTTTAATTCTCTAATTTGCAAACTGGTTCATTTCCAAGTTTTTATTCCAAAGATAATGAGAGGTCATTAGTGTTGCCTGCAAATGAATTCAATGAGCAAAAGGCCAAGTCTTTAAGGCAGTCCACTGCCAAAAATGCTACATAATGCTATCCTAATTTAATGTATTGGTATTTTTTCATAATCAAATACACACAAAACAAACTTCAGTGCAAATAATGATGGGAAATATTTTGCCGTGTAATTTGTGGAGACGATTTATTAACAATAAACTCAAATGTGTACAAAAGTTTTTATTAAAATCCTCTTAAATAAAAATGTCTATATCCGTACTGCTAATAGTGCGTCCCTGCTAACTGCAACCAAGAAGAGGAGTCACAAACACCAAAACATTTGTAAATCATTTAGTAAAAGATGGGGAGTTGTGAAATGATGTCAAGAAATAATTTAACACCCCGTGGCTGTATAAGAAAGACAGGCAGCTTTAATGGAATCTTATAAACCATCTAAAGATGAATGTACGTTTCAGTCAATTTCTTTGATGAAAACGACATAAATTCTTTCTCATTCATTTGAGCAAGCTTGCAATTTTCTCTCCCTTTGTTTTTCTCTTTTTTGTGGGTCTGTCTCACTTTTTGATTAAGGAACTGATCCATATAATTTCTTGAAATCCCTTCACAAACTAACAATCAGTTTGACTCATATTTGATCACATGTTGGTTATTCAGACATTTCTTGTGAAAAGATATTAACCACAATATAGAAATGCATCTGGAAATTCCTCAGACTGGCCCACTGAAACAGCCCATTAATGGTGACAACAATTATGACAATGAGACATTTGACCCTGATCCTGAGAGCAAAACAGGAAATAAACTAATGCACAGGAAAAGTATGAAAAACGGTTTAAAGGATAGGCAAGGTGCCAGGGCCATCTAGACGAATCATTCATCACAATTCAGATCTTCAGGGTTTTTTTTATCAAAGTTTTTATCAAAGCAATAACATCCAAAAGGAGCAGCTGTGAAAGGGTCATTTACGCTCTTTAACAGATCACATTCCCACGTGATCACTGGCTCTCTTCGGTCACACAAGTCCGGTCATCTGAGGTGTGATGAAGGCCATGGGATGGGCGAAGTGGCCGCTCAGTGGATAGCTAACCGCGTCCGTGACGGCGGCGCTCTCGCGATACAACACGGGAACCCTGACGACCCGGTGCGCGCCGTGGGGGAAGAGGGCGCTGCCGGCCTCCATGTCGGCGGCGAGCTGCCGCTTCCACTTGTTCCTGCGGTTCTGGAACCAGATCTTGACCTGCGTCTCGGTCAGCTGCAGCGACGCGGCCAGGCCGGCCCGCTCCGAGCTGCTCAGGTAGCGCTTCAGGTCGAAGGTGGACTCCAGCTGGAACACCTGGCTGCGGCTGAACACCGTGCGCGTCTTCTTCTTCCTCCCAACTTTCGCGTCACCTGAGATCACACACACACAAAAAGAAAGAAATCTTGGTGGCTGCAACTGGACGTTTATCATCATGTTGGGTGGATGATGAGTGGGGTTCGCTTAAGTCTCACGTGGTCCACAGACGGGACCTTTTCCTTCCCTCACTGGTCCTTTAACCTTCTTAATCTACTGAGCACAGAATCCAGATTTTCTGTGAATCTCCCTAAAGCTTTGTGTTTCGGTTTTACATTTGATTTACTTCTCGGAAAACAGTTTGAATTTAATTATGTAGCTTCATTACCTTGATTTGGTCCCAATAGCTTTTAGAATACACAATTGTGAAGAAGGAACAATGAACAATGCCTTTGTGGACAGATGACATATACTTTACATGCTTTCAAACGTCAGTAATTGGGACAGGATGTGAAAGTTGCTTTAAAGTTGGGTATATTTTCTGTTCCACCAGCATTTAGACCTTTTCCTCAGCTGTTTATCACCAGTCCAGAAACACTAAATGCCATTAGCACTTAAATCTATTTGTACAGAAATGTGCCTGGAGCTACAAAGCCTGTGTTGTTCGTCCGTAGATTATAAAACTATGTCCACCTTCTAACTTAATTCCCCCCCAGGTAGAACAAATTAACTTTTTATTCTATGAGGAATAGACCTGAACCATTATAGACCTAGCTGCCATTGATGTGCAATTTGAATTTTATGGGCGTTTCCCACTGTTGATATTCTTATATGAAGGAAAATCAACAAATCAAATTCTAAAAATGTTTCCACGTTTGAAGTGATTAGAGACGGTTCTCTTGCGGAGCGCATGCGTAGTGACTCCACACTTACACTTATGGCACAGGTGTTAGGGCTGGGGTGTTGCTCTTCTCTCACCTGAATCACTGCCCTCCCCTCTGGAGGTGCTGGTGGACCGAGCGTCCTCCTCATCCCTGTCCTCTGTCGACCCCCCCTCCTCCTTCTCCTCTGGCTCATCTGTCTCCTCTGCCTGTCCCGTCAAACCCAGACAGTCCCTTTCCCTGCTTGGTGCAGGATCTGCATGCACGGCCCAGACGCCGGTTTCCTGTAACGGACCTGCGAGGGAAAAAAGCGTCAGAGATAAAGACGAGCTCCAAATGCTCCTGATGCCGTCCCCATGCCCCCCCTTACACAGGCCAGAAATAATCCATACTCTGTGAGCATTAAAACCCAACCATAGATATTTGCTCTTAATAATTTGAAGATCAACGGTCGTTGGTAGTGTTGGTCAGGTGGCTGGTTATTGGAGTTGTAGGTTTTACGCACAGAGGATGGGACATGGATGTGCTACAGGCCATGTCATAAACCCCGAAAACACAAAAGCAAAACGTGTGGGGCTGACTGATGTGTGCCAGAGAAAGTATTACAAACAACTTTGTCATTTAATCATCTGATTGTCCACATTGATCACTTCCTGTCGTCCTACGAACGGTTTTTGATCTTTTACGCAGAGCATTTCTTGCGTAAGAACATGACAACGATACGTGTTTTCCTTTTTCTGTCATTTACAACATTCACCAGCCAGTCAAACTCACTTCCAGAGCTGCCGCGCACCGTCCAGTTGGGCTCGCCACGGCTCAGCCGGTTTTGGACACCTGGACAGAGCCCTGGCTTCCGAGAGGCGCTGATTTTGAGGTTTGAATCCTCCACACGCTCCTCTGACGAGCCATCTGTAGTTCTCAGCAAATTCTCTATGTAAAAAGACGAACCTCTAGATGGAGCACCGAGCTTCGGTCTCGGCGATTTATCGTCCAGCATCTTAACTTTTTTTGTTTTGGTCCTTCTTCGGGCCGTTTTCACGAATGTTTAACTTCCCCGGGACATGGATATTATGCCATTATTCCTAGGAAAGCGTCTCGGGTCCTCTGCTCCGCGTAAGCCATCCCGGCGCGCACGGCCTGACGCCACAGTTCCGCACGAAATCTTATAGTTTCTGTCTGGAACCGCGCGAAAGCAGACAGGAATCAGCCTGAGACCGACCCAGTGCCACTCCCCAGAAACTCTCGTCTAAGCTGCGCGATGGTCTGCCTGAAGGGACCGCAGAGATGCGGGATTTGGGTCAATTAGGGAGCAAACCAAAGCAGAGACACGGCGTTGTCCTCAGGGCTGGAGATGGAGAAAAGCGTCACGCAGAACGGCACAGTACCGCCTATTGGCTGCAACTGTCCATGCACACTCCACATCCACTGTCTGCCCCACTGTCCAGCCGGGCTCCTATCTTCTGATTGAGGAAGACCAAAAAAATCCACTCTTCCACAGCTGCTGCTTTTGCTCCAGTTGTTATTTCTGGGACAGTCGATAGTTTTTCTGAAAAATTCTGTCCTGTTAAGTCACCAAACAAATATCCAGGCCTTTCCAACTTCTCCTCTAAATTCGTTGGCATCAAAAATAGATCAGAAGAGAGGAAAGGAGGTTCAAATAAACTTAAAAATACATTTTAGCTATTGAAACGATTGGGAGATGCAATAATTTAAAGCATATACATAGACAATAAATAGATATTAAACACATTAATGAAAAAAAAAAAAAAAAAAAAACAAACGGGGGAAAGCTAGAAAAAGTCCCTTTAACGGCGAACTGAGCACAATTCCTAACTTTCATTTAGGTAAAGTGACGCTGTTTATTTAAAACGTTTTATTAGTTTGTGGTCTGACGTCCGTACTGCTCCTGAGGTGAAAAACTGAAATTTTCCCGTATGAATTCATGTTTTGGACACGTGGTATTTTCTCAATGAGAGTTAGCGTTAGAATGGAGTGGAAAAAGTATTTTGTGTTTAGTGAAAAGTTCCTTAAACACGGCTCAAATAGAAGCTGATGCCAAGTGAAATGTTGGCGTTTAAGGTCTGTTTTTTGTTGTTGTTCTTTTTAAAAATTAATTTCTATGAACTGATGCATTTTTTTTGTTATCTTCTGTTGCATTAATTTTTGTTTGCTGTTGTTTGTGTATTTAGTGAGATGAGTCATTTTCTGAAGTTTTTATTATGTTTAGTTTTTTTTCGTTAGCATTTTTTTTATATGAGCGTTTTTTATGCTTTGCGTTCAGCTTGAGTCTTTATTTTTTGTGTTTCTTTGTTTTTTTGCTGCACAGTCACATGTGTTGCACTGATGTAAAATCTTAAAAACAGTTGTTTATTCTTTTGTTTTGTGTGGCCTTTTGAATTATCTTTTTCTTGTCATTTTTTCCCAGAGTTTTTTGTTTGTTTGTTTTATTGTAGTTTTTTGTTGTTTGGCATCTTAACTCCATTTAACAAGTTTTAAAGTGAAAAAAAAACTGAATTAATGATCTGGGACTAACATGGATTATCTGCATAACTGCTCCCCTTTTTACTATTCATTTGACTCTCATGTTGTTGTGTTCAGTTCTTAAAATTCTGATTATCTTTAAAAAAGACAAACAAACATGTTTCGTGTCAGTCTGATTTGCTAAACATGTATTTTTAAATTACCCAGAAAGAGCCCAGAAGCTAAAGCGTCCGTGTTG